CCCCCAGGCACTTCCAAGCCATTGAATGCTAATCAAGGTGATCAGCTGAAACATTCACACCTAGCTGCAGCAGACAAAAGTCCTTTTTCTCACCCTGGTCATTCCACAGATATATAAACCCCTTTTTCCTAGTTCCAACAGACCTCACTACCTCTGAGGATGCTTGCCATAGATGCAGGCGAAACGTCAGGGGAAAAATTGCCTCCAGAACATGGCCATATAGCCCGGAAAAACCTACAACAACCCAGTGATTCCGGCCATGAAAGCCTTCGACAATACATTATATATTACATTGTACTATAACATAACATGTAATTTTATTAGTAATATTACATTTAATATAAACTACTAGCTGTCCCTGCCACGCATTGCTGTGTCTCATTCTGTTGATCTGGAAAATAATGAGAAAGTGTTGGTTTCTAATATATGTAATGTCTTGATGCTTGTGAGTAAACAGTATTTCTTGTTTCTTTGTCAATGTTGATGTGGAGAGTGTCTGGTTTGCCCACTCTGGAACATGCAACATAATTGTCCTTCAGGGGTCACTTTCAAATCTATGATACTATATAAGTGTGTGTGTGAATCATATCTATCTATCTATCTATGGCTGTATGGTTCTTTGTCAGGAGGGCTTTGATTACGTTTTCTTGCCCTGATGAAGGGAGTTGTATTGGTTGACCTTAAGTATTTTCTGTTGGTCGTGGGTGTTCGGTGTGGGAAGTTTCCCCCGATTCTGTCGTTTGTGGGGTTCAGAATGCTCTTTGATTGTAGGTGAACTATAAATCCCAGTTACTACAACTCCCAAATATCAAGATCTATTTCCCCCAAACTCCATCTGTGTTCATATTTGGGTATGTTGAGTGCTTGTGCCAAGTTTGGTCCCGATCTATCATTGTTTGAGTCCACAATTCTCTCTGGATGTAGGTGAACTACAACTCCCAAACTCAAGGTCAATGCCCACCAAACCCTTCCAGTATTTTTTGTTGGTCATGGGAGTTCTGTGTGCCAAGTTTGGTTCAATTCCATCGTTGATGGAGGTCGATGCCCTTCCACAAGCCCTATATCCCAGAATATCAAGCCAGGAAATCCCACATTATCTGAGTGTGGACTCTAATAACCCAGTTCAAAGCAGATATTGGTGGGACTGTCTGCCTTGATATTCTGAGATAAGGTTTGTGTGGAAGACCCTAATATTGTTTCTTCCTATTCTCTACTGTTCTGTCGTATGGATGAGAGAAATCTCTGCCAATATTGGAAGGTTACACAACATGGAAACTAGAAACAAAAAATTAGAAAAAACAAAATATTCAAATAAAGATATTCTTTCCTGCCATCCTAAACAGTTTTTTTAAAGCCAGAATTATATAAGAGATGTCAGCTGTATCTCTTGTTTCAGCCTCCTGTTTTCACAGATAGAGGTTGGGATTGGGCTAAAGCAATAAGAACAGTCTTATCCTCGCTCATCTGGAACATCGGTTCTGACAGAGATTATAATCTGAAAGCAAGAGACAAGAGAAAAATCCCCAGTTTTGCCCACTAAAACTGCTGGGCTTCTCTTGGATAAACATGGTTTTTCATGGGGTCACCAATTCACTCGTATGTATGATCATGTTGGTAACTTTATCCAAATGATTGCAGAACTGCTATGAAGTGCAACATCTGATTACCTTGTTTAGTTTTCTTAGTGTCAGCATTCACAACAGGATTTGAAAATGAGTATATAACTAAAGTGCACTTAGCACACAGCAGGCGCTTCAGTCATACTATCCACCTTTTTTCAAATCCTGTTGTAAATGCTTATACTAATGAAACTAAATAAATTATTAAATTGTTGAGCTTCACAGCAGTTCAGAAATCGTCATGTTTGATCCATAACTAGAACTTAGTAAATTTAATCTAGTAGCAGTGTAGTAGTTCTATTAATCTTGGTTTGTTTTAACACAAAATAGAACTCAGTATATGTACACTTAGTAGAAAACTTTATATTTTAATTCCAAGTTGTTAAGTAGAAAAAAAGTTGTCTTTGTGTTTCCCAAGAGCATGATATTCAGAGTGCTATAATTTCTGACCAGTAATACCTGAAATGCAAATGGATGATCGGGAGTGAGTAAACTGATCTTCCAGATGCTGTTGATTGTGACACCCATCAGCCCTCAACCAGCATAGCCTTTGTTGAAAAATGTTGACAGCTGTACTTCAGCAATATCTAGATGGTTACACCCCCTCCCCCCATAAATATTTGAGAAAATTATTAATTGGCACATGTCACTCATCTGCCACTTTGATAGTAGATTGCAAATGGTCATCAAATAATAGTAGGAGCAAATTGGAAGGGGAAACATTTGTTGTTGTTGTTCATTTGTTCAGTCGCTTCCTACTCTTCGTGACCTCATGGACCAGCCCATGCCAGAGTTTCCTGTCGGCCATCACCACCCCCAGCTCCTTCAGAGTCAAGCCAGTCACTTCAAGGATACCATCCATTCATCTTGCCCTTGGTGGGCCCCTCTTCCTTTTTCCTTCCATTTTACCCAGCATCATTGTCTTATCTAAGCTTTCCTGTGTTCTCATGATGTGGCCAAAATACTTCATCTTGGCCTCTAATATCCTTCCCTCGAATGAGCAGTCAGAATCCACACTGTCTGCCTCATTTGACTCACTGACCGGAACATTTTCAAAAATTTCATCATCCTCCTCGTCCTGAGCAGGTTCAGAAAGCTCAGACTCAAACTGAGCCACAACCTACTCAACAGTCTCCTTTCCTGAGCTTGCCAGGGTGGTCTTGGGGTTGATGCTGGAGTCTCCCCTAAGTCATTGTGTTTGGGTTTACAGCCTTAGAGAAATGAAGTATGGATGCTTTCTTATACAACAAAACATTTGCAGGTGAACATGAAATGAGACAGTTTTTATTGTTTCCCCCCTACAGCATTAATATGTGACTCAGCAGGTTTTGAACTAGCAGTAAACAGGGCTTTCAAAATCCTTCTATAGACAAAGAATGTTTGTTCAATAAAACTTGTTTTGAATGATTGAAAAAGAAAGATTATAAAAATATTTTGTTCAATTTTCCTGAGTTGCCTGGAGGAATAAGCATTCCAAAAAGTACAGATGATGAATGCTAGAAACTGGTTTGCTGGAAAAATGCCTTGATTTGTGTGAATAAGCAGCAGAGATTTCTTCTATCAAAAACACATTGTTCAGATCCCTCCAGAAAGCAATTATAATTCAGTTGGTATTCTTTTTCCATGTATTTTCAAAAATGGGTTATACTTAAGCAAAAAAATCAATGGTATAACATTCAGTTTCACCTCCTTGCAAGTTAGCCGTAAAATGGGTAGGCAAACTTGGAAGACTTGGGGCCCAAATATTTACTCCCTGTGCTCATC